GCGGGCTCTCCGATGCCGATTGAGCAGACCTGATGATTGGTCCAGTATCTCTCGCGCACCCTGCAACTGAGCATTTCTTTCGACCCCATTTCATCGGACAGACCCAGGGGCCACGTCATCTGTCATGGAGATGAAGTCAAGCGCCACCTGAGAATCAAGCAGTAGGAGTCGGATAATTCTACGCACCATCGATCGAAGATCACGATCTCCGTGACTCGAAGAGTCGATCAAAGCTCTCGCGAGAGGCGAAGTTCACGATACCGGACGATGCTTTGTGAAGCAGTTTTCTTCACATTCCGTCGGATATGGCTCCCGGAAATGCGAGCTGATGGTTTAGCAACGAGGATAGTTTTTATCGCCCTGCGTCACTCAAACCCTTCTGGGAGAATTTTCTGACACGGTTCTCTGTGGCTCCATCAGCGCACAGAAGGCAAGTGTCTCGGGAAATCACTGATTGTCGGTGGCGTACACAGGATTTCTCCGGGGGGGGGGGCTGTCGATGTCGGCCCGCGGTCGGCTCCGAGGTGGGAAATGTTCGGAAAAATTACGGATCTCACAAGAAAGTCCGTCTAGGAGAAAGCCGTTTGTTTCTGGGGCTTAATTCGAGGAAGGCGTGCCATCGCTCAATCATTTGGTGGGCCCGAGCACCGGCTTTAAATCCCCCGAGGGAACAGCGAACTATGGCCGTGCAGCTAGTCTGGAACTTGCCCGAATTCCAGAATGGAATCATCGATGTTCATTAGTAAAGCTGACTTATCAAGTGTCGCGGTCATCGCGGAGTCCCCCGGCGTACTTAATGGAAACTTCCGAGCATCGGACGAACGCGGCGTCGCCCAGGATGCGGGCTGCGCGTCACACGGCGTCGTTTGAGCTAGGGAGATCGATGAAATTCAAAGACATGACGATACATGGTAATGTTGTGTTTCGCGGAACGACTCAACGATGGGCCGCGTCATCGAATGGTCGATGTATAAAATAGAAATCAAGCGGGAGAAGTTCAGGCAAGGGATGAATTGTTTCCAAGAGAAGCGCACGATCTTCGATATTATCCTCGGGGACGCCCAACCAGCAGGCCAGGCCAGGCGATCCGGGCTCCAAGTTCCTTTACAAGGCAGCAGCAGCAGCGGGCCCGCCGTCCGCAACATCATTTTCAAATAGTCGGCGGAGGCATCCCGCGAACCGAATCCCAATGGTCGGGGGAGCCTTCCGCATCCTCCACCGAGACAGACTTTTCGATGAGGGGGGCAGGTGCTCGAGTAATCCTGCGCACAGGAATACCGCCCGTAGCCCTTCAGCGTAGTCCAGGAATTTTAATTTCGGCCGCACCTCACGCGTCTCTAGTCATTGATCGGTCGACACTTCCGGGGGACACGTTTGTAATTGAATTTTTCAACACTCCTCAACTAAAGGGAAATGACTTTTGAGAATTTTGAAATCCGTCAGTAAAGGGATAATTAAAGTTCCAGTCTGAGCATAACGGACTGAATGCCTCGTTTCCCTGAACTCGCGTATCGTAGTTGCTTTTTCAGCGCCGAGCGATGTTTTGTGAAATCTACGGAAAATTTCCTGCAAAGCGTGAACATACAATTCTCAATCTTGCTTCTTCGCGTCATGCGAAAACCCGACAAGATTGACACAAAGTTCGCTCGACCGGTGATCAAATAGGATTCGTTCCGACCTCTCGCCCCGTCTGTGTTTAGAGGACTTCCATTCCGGGAATTAAAGCGACAATTTCGCCATAGCGGCTACCGCGCGGGCCGTCAATCCGCGAATTCGACGACGGGAATTGAATTCTTTTTCCTCGCACGAATATCGTCTAGCGATTAAATGGACCGCAGCGCACCTGTCAAACTGTCAGTACCGCTTCTCCCCTTTGGGATGAGCAATCGTACGAAGCCATTTTTTCGAAAGCTTGATATGTTTTTTGAACTCGGGACCGGAAACAGCTCGATAAAAGTTGGAAGACGATCGGAAGAGATACCGTCCGGATATTATCTTAAACTCTATCTAAATGATCACCGATCATTGGATTCGAGCCGACTTCATCGATTTTCTGTTCGGGCCAGAAGTTTGCGCATGTGTGAACCGATCTTGAGTAGAAGGCTTGCATCGTGAAGATCTCTGTGGGCAAGATGAGGGCTTCGGAACTGAGGAATTTCGTAGCGAGCGAGTCGGCGTATATTTCATTATTCCTCATTGGACTGAACAATGTCGGGGACGTACGGGACTCTCGGGAGGAGGGACATGAATAAGAATCGCGGTCGGAGCCTTCCATGATGATTTCTGCGTTACGGGGGAAGAGACTTGAGTTCACAGAAGGACTCTACTTGGGAGCCCCACAGCATTACGACTCACTCAGAACAAGCAAGCGTTCATGTTATTCGAAGGATGGAGTGAAATATGTGGAACTATCATTCTTGTCTCGATAACGATGTTCTTACTCTGGAGCCTTCTGGTGGCAGCAAACAGAAGTCCCATGGTTATTCTTTCGGACTTTCTTATTTGATTGCGTCAGACTGCCGGCTTTGGAGCGTTCTCGAGACATCATTGCAGGAATCCCGGTCACATGCGCCGAAGAAAAGATTCTCTTAGTTTCCGAGAACGGATCGCACGCGAGATAGGTAAGGAAGACATTCCTGGTCAGCTCCCCCTTCTGCCCCGAACTGTATGCATGGCAAATCTCGTCGACGATACTCCTGGGTCTCTGGGTTTAGACCCAAGCCGCACAACTCGAGGCATGAGTTACTTGACGGGAACCTCATCCGAACGGTGCAGAAACCCATTATGGGGATGAGTCGGTCTTGAGCCTTCAAACATAGAGTTCCACCACCCAGATGCGGCCGGTGAGAGGGGGCCAAGAAGTCCGTGTCGTGAAGGAAGCACTCGCGTTGGTTTTTCGAATGACGAGCATTTTTCCTGCAGCTCGATTCCGTAAGACCAACAATTGTAGAGATGACGCTCTTCCGAAGAGCTCTAGAAAAAAAATGTTGTCAAAACTCGGAAGCAGTCAAACTTCAGATCATGCGTCAGGGAGCCCAATCAAGATGAGATTCCTCCCTCACCGCTCCGCGATCACGTCTTACGGGCTCCTCAGTTTCGACGTCCCGAAGCGGCTCCCAGACCCATAAGGAGTTCCGATAAAGGCCTTTCCCCGGATTCGTTCGAGCTTTTGCGCTTCACGGCAACACAACGATCATTTTCTTGCTCAATCTGCTCGGAAAAATTCCAGTAGGCAGGTCGCCGCCAGAAGTCACGGTCGACGGAAAATCGGAGAATATACGGTCGAGATGGTGTCACAAAAGCCGTGCTAATTCGCACGGCACTTAAATTTAACCTAATCCATCAGAGGGTCAGATATGCACAGCGAGCAGCGGATTCGAGTCGATCCAGAGCGTGAGCCGGAATCTGACTTCATCGAATGAATTTTCAGGCCCGCAGAGGGCAGCGTGCGTAGCTGCGAACCCCAAAAACCGACGATCAGACGAGCAAAGAAACGCAGGGAGAAATGGTAACGAAAAAGAACAAATACGGACGCGCATGGCGGCCACCGCGGTGTTGGCTCTGTCAATCAAGCCGGTAACGGTCCTATAATCACAATCTTTTGCCTTGTTGACACAAAACGGTTTCGAAACTCCTTGTGATCGTTGCGAAGTCGATTGAGCATCGTTTTCTTGTCAGCCATGGAACATGAAAATTATCGCCTTCGAGGAGAGTCCCCCCGCGACGAGCTTTCCTTGAGAGAAAAAAGTTCGCCATTTGAGTTGCGATGATGCGCACAGATCTGCCGCAGTCGTGATGGCGGATTTCCTCTCGCGCGATCATCTTCTCGATGATTCTCTGTATGGACCGACCATGCTCGCCGCCAGATCTGAGCCTCCCTGATCTCTGGTTTTTCCAGCGTTCCTGTTGTTCGATCGAACCTGTTCTCGTTCTCTTGAGCAATGGTCTTCCGATCGAGCAGCGGATTACAGTCAGGCATGATAGTTCTGCGTCACACGGTTGTGGCAGTTCATCCAATGAGGGCGGTCATTTTTGCTCATCCGCGATTTGGCATAGAAACTTTGGAGGAAGAATCTCGCCATAAGCACGCCGTATGGCCTAGGCCTCGATGGGACGGCAACTGTAAGAGATCTGGGGCCAGAGAATTCGAGTCTCCTGATAATAATGGAGCTCGAGACTCCGATCCTCTGGAATCCCGGGAGGCGAACTTCGGGGCTTGCACCAGAGGAGCACTTCCCATTATAAGGGCTCTGATGAATACAAACTCGATACCTAGATTCGCTCCTCAAGCAAAGGGTAGGGAGATTCTATCTCGGTCTGAGGATAGGGTCAGAAAATTACCCAGGAAGCAACAGAGCTCTCGCTGGTACCCTCCACCATCGCTAGTTCGGTAGCAGCGAGAAAAATTATCAAGGATCAGAAGATCAAGCTTCTCGGATCGACTGCTCCGAACTTTGTTTTTCTTCTTCCCCAAGTTTATTTCCCCCTGAGCCGAGCGATCATTAGCAGAGAGAGTTCTGCAAGCGTGTAATTTTCCTCGTCATCCAACCCTAGGTCGATTCTCACATTACACCTCGCAACCTCACCTAACAGAGGAGTTCTCAAACGAGTAAAGCCTCCCACAGAATATGAGCGAATACACATTTATTTTCTGAAAAAAATACGGAAAACATCATCGATGTCTCTGACTCCAAAAGAACGAGTTCTTACTGATCGTCAGTAGTTTCTTTTACACAGTCTCGCGATCGTGTTACATCGTTCATTTTCAGCTACTCGACCTTGTTTCCAAGAGAAAACTGCCCGAGACTTCGCGAGCCGAGATCAAGATTGGCCCATACACCACCGAGTCGTTAAGGCATGGACTTCCGAACGGAAAGAGTTTCTTCGCCAGAAATACCTGAACCAGAATCGGGGACGTTGCATCTAGCGGTCAGCTGGCAACTCGCGGGAGCTTCCATCAAATTCTTGGGCAAGCTGAAAAATCGAAGAAAAACTAGGAAATGTCGGTACTGGATTGGGCGGGAAAGCTGTCCACCGAATTCGGAATATATGATGTAGAATTGACTGGTGAGGATTTCGACGGATTCCCTCATCGAGGTCCTATGCCGGGGAGTTGACTCCTGCACTATTTTCAGAGCTGTAAAATCCGCATTCATGCTCTTGTCAGTGATGCCATCGATATCTCGAAGATACACAGCAACACAGCAACACAGAAACGCCGCCGGCTCGCCGAGGGAGGCTTCTCTCTTGCACTCAGCCGGCCTCGTCGTCATTGCCAAGCTTTAATCAGCGGGAAGAGGAAATGAGGCGAGATCTAGAAGCCCGGAGCTCTAGCGACATATTTTGAGCGCGAGGAAAACGATGGGTAATGGGTGCTCATGCGGGAACAGAGAGCACATCCGCGGGGGCTCCGGTAAACGGAGTTCTCCTCTATCGAGCGACCCGGACCCGAGACAATCGTTCGGGAGCGGAAGTCCAGAGGTATCCGACAGTTCGCTCGGGAGTGGAACGAGCAGCCCACTGGTCGACTCGACCGACATCGCGACAATTAAACATTCCGTAGCACCCACAACTCGAGCCCGTGAGGAGCTACGGGCAGAACTTGAGGTCCGAAAGCGATATTACCCGAGGATTCTCGAGCCACGCGCTTGTGGAGGCGTACGACCAGCCGAGGCAGCTTCCGAGGCTGTGACACAAATAGCGAGAAATGCCCTGCCCCGGCCAAAATATCAGGCTCGCTCCGCGTCATGGAACGAGGCGCTTCCCAGATCCACAGAACCTGCCAGGTCTGTTGATAAACGCAGGAAGTCATTCTCAGCCGAATTCTGGGAGAAGCACGCACGAAAAGTCCGTAGGAAACTGGCGAGGGATAAATGCCCTCGAGAAAGTTTTGGAAGCTTCGAGCTGCTGAAATTCTTGAGCAGCGGCTCTTTCGGATCTGTGTTCAAAGTGAGAATGAAAAGGAACAGGAAGGTCTTCGCAATGAAAGTGCAGCCAAAGCGGCTGATCGTGCGCAAGGAAGCACAAAAGTACGCGATTCAAGAGAAGCGGATTTTTGCAGCAGTTGATTTCGAATTCATCGTCAAGCTATTCTATGCATTCAAGGATAACGCGAATCTCTTCCTCGTAATGGAATTGTTCGAAAACGGCGATCTGAGTCTGCTCTTGAAACATGAAAAAAAATTGACCGAATGGCGAGCTAAGCTTTACGCCGGCCAGCTTGTGCTTGTCATCGAGTATTTACATCGCGCCCGAATCGTATTCCGAGACCTCAAACCTCCGAATATTCTCATAGCTGACGACGGATATCTCAAATTGACTGATTTCGGTCTCGCGACCGTATTCCATGGATCGACGTACACTCTATGCGGATCGCCCCCGTACATGGCGCCAGAGATCCTCCGACGCCAGCAGTACGGGCCAGGAGTCGATTGGTGGGCTCTCGGAATAATTGTTTACGAGATGCTGCACGGTCAACTCCCTTTCAGATGTCCAGGAAATGAGGGAACAGTCCTCGAGAGGCTCATCCTGACAGCACCGCTAGAGTTCCGTGGAGGTCTGGACAGAACCGCAGAAGACTTCATCTCGAAATTGTTGGAACGGGAAGATTCGCGACGTCTGGGCTCGTTGCATCGGGGTGCTGATGATGTTTTGGATCATGAATGGCTATGGGAGGTCGACTTCGACTTGCTGTATGCGAAGAAATACCAAATTCCTGTATCGAAGAGGCTGAGATATCTTCAGGAGCGAGGACACTACGAGGCAATCCATTTCGATCCCAAGGACTACTTCCCGCATGAGTTCCAGGACTTCTGACCGAGTCAGTGACTCTAGATATAAGCTTGCTATGCGGGGAGGGGAGATGCGGGATCTCCCGCTTGATTATCATTGTCGATGCCGCAATCGTTTGTACATGTGTCTTCTTGGTTTTGTGTTGAAATAGATGGAACGACTAAGGAATGAACGCAATTCCTCAAACATCTGTCATGCTCGCGGCTCAGACACGAGCTGCTCGCTGGCGCGCGCAAGGCACGGCAGAAGTCTCGAGTCTCGACCCTCTCCGGGATGTCGCGCGTCGGCGTGTCTGATTTGAACTCACGCTCGTGAAATCTTCTATCTTCGATATCAGTGTTTCTCAAACTAGGGGGCCCGTCTCCCCCGGTAGACGCAGGAGAAGTTCAGGGGGAACGCGGAGGATGCCTTGAATTCCCAACCGACCGATGTTTCGTCTCAGAGAGGTCACCTAGCTCATTGCTAATCTAGAATAAGTCTCTGATCATTGTACGGTTCATCGAGGAACCAAATTCCATGGAGAAAACGGTACTGTGACATGTTCAGGTCAAACTTCACATCCTCAGATATACGGTGGTCTCCTTGGGAAAGGCGAGCGCCCCTCATAAGGCTTAGGGGAGACGTGAGGGAGAAAAGTTTGAGAACCGCTGTTCTATATATATGAAATTTAATGTACACTTGTCTGTCATGGTCTTCTCCCCTTGGAAAGTAGAAGTGACTTATGCCTGGAATTTGCCTGGATGCGACACGGAGTACAGGGGAAGGTTCTAAGCCTGTCAGATCTGAGAAGAACGAACCGCATTAACGTCATTTAGTCATTGCGTTTGAAAGGCCTTCTTGGAGGAGCCCCGTAATTTTTCTGCCATTTTCTGGCATCGATTAGTATTCTTTCATGATCTTCGTGATCCAATGAATTCCGTGTCATCTGAGTCATTTTTGATCGTGCTCCTCTACGAAGACGTTAGCTGACGGTTCTTTCGGTCCTAGGTCCTCAACTGTCGGTGCCTGAGGTGCCCTAGAGGTTTGTTATGATTCCATCCGAGCCTCAAACTGAAGCTGACGTACGGATACGGGATGTGGATCTGGTGAAAACCGGAGTTTCTGATGTTCGAGCCGCGACTCTAATTGACTCTTTCGTGTTCTCTCAGGAAGGTCGAGGAATCCTTGAGGGTGTTGTTTGCCTGGTCTTCTGAAGTGCTTCCTCAGTAATGCCGTCAACTGGCAGACGGAGTCCGCTGAGTCATTATTCGCGACGCGCGACGAAAAGAAAAGCCTCGATAGCTCTAGAAACTGATGCTCAACGAGCAACTAGATTCCAGCTTGACAGGATACGGCACTCGCGAGCGCGTTTGACAGAGGATGAGGATCATCGAAACGCGAGACTGGAAGCTGACCATTGGTTTCATCTGAGGACGCGAGCTGATGAAACGAATGAGCGAAGAGCTGCACGCTAGGAAGGGATTCGAAGGGACTCTCCAAATGCATTCGGAAGAAACTGCGGACGATCGGGTGGCAGGATTGTCGTCAAATAGTGCTCGGCGTGTTCAAGTCAGGCGTGGGATACATAGCGATCTAAACCTCGCAGCTTTTGGGTATGACCCTGCTACAGATTACAGCACGCACCCTGGTGTCGACATTGGGAGAATGGATCAGGTATATGATTCCTGTCGAGCACTAAAATTCGCAAAAGAGACAAGGTATGTGCTGCGCGGGCGGAAAAGTCCAGTTGCCAGAACTGTTCCCGCCGCCTGAGCCCTTAGCAACATTGATATCTGAGAGTACCTACAAATCAATCCAGACATTTTTCGGCAAACATTCGAAGAAGAATCGAAAATCACCGATGTAAAAGACTAGTTGACTCTATATTAGGTAACCCGAGACCCTGGAGGAACTTGCCCGATATTCTCATTCATCCCATTAATCTTCTTCTGGCGAAAACGTCAATCGTGAGGTGCTGGCTGCTCTCGACATCTCAGAGTTTTCCCTCGACGCCAAATGCGGAACTTTCTATAAGATATTGCTTTCTCCTTCATCGTCATCATCGTCGGAATCATCAAAGTAATCTTCGTCGTATTCCTCGTCGTATTCTTCAATGAATGAGTACGTTAGTAGGTACAATTACTGCACAGAAGCGCGCCCGGTCCCAATGCTTTCTACGTCTAGTCTCGCGACATTTTCAGTCTGGGGATAGTATGACATCCGAGCAGACCTGAAGGAGTTCTTCTCCAGCTGGGGAATGGTGTTCCCACAGTGGATGGATCTTCCTCAAGCGATTGCCTCGAAGTTGCCTCCATAGTTGTCGGCTCCTGCTCCGTCGACAGCTCCTCTAGAGTGGTTGGGACCTGCGTACTTCGTGCTGGTTTGGAGGGAGGCAGCAACGAAGTCGTTCCCGGTCGCCTCTCGGTGGTCGGCAAACTCGTGCTGTATGCTGGTACTGTTCTTGATGAGAGATTCTCGGATGAGAAGATCTCTTTTGGCGAAACTGACGGATGGAATAATTATCACACAGATGATCACTGTATTCGACAATGTGACCATGGCTCACATCTTAACTTATTCAGAGCTTAGGCTCGAGCATACCCTCAGCACCGACAGGAGGACCGGAGCGTCTATAGAAGTAGAGAATCAGAGCGATAGAGGTCGCGGTGACAAGCACCAATTTCCGAGTTTCGGTAAGCAATTGGCTCCTGGTCAGACCGCCCCTATCTACGCTGTGATCAACGCGCGCTTCGTCAGGAGCTGCCGAGTTCAAGGGAGGTTTCATTTCTGGAGTCGCCTACTGGTAACTGTCACCGTTTATGTATAGGATACGTTCCTGACTTGAGAATCTTGGAGGCTTCACCTCGTTACACACACCCACCGCCGTGTGAGGAAGCCTTGGCACGTGGCGGTGGTGTCGGACCATATTCGGCGAGCAACTGATCCCAGGGATATCCCATCCTACGGTTGACGGCCTAGCGGGAGAAGATGGTGCCCTAATCTACTCCCAATTGATCAATTGATGGAGAGCGTGATCGATCAATTGATAAGTCATAAGTCATAACATGAACCTACCAAGATTGGTACATAGAGCTGGGCCGGCATTCCGGCTTCATATTGCTGACCCATATGGCTCGGTGCTTGGCCAGGCAAGCCCATGGAGGGGTATGGGCGGAATTGTTGCGCCAGTGGTGGTGAAACTTTCCCATAAGACCAATCGGGACCAGGGTGGGCTCCTTCCGAGTTGTTGAGTACATTGAATGGATTCGTGGAACTTGGAGTTTGGAAGCTTCCATCCGCTGAGACGGACGTTCGAGTACATGGCCCTGCGGCCCCTGCGGGATATCTCGATGAGCGTTTCGGGAACATAGTCGATGACCTCAATCAATTTACACAATCATGTTTTCGTTATCTTGTTGACTTTATAGAGCTTCCACTAAGGGCTCATTGTCGGTATCTTCGACTCACAGTCGCTGGCAAGAAGCTTTGCATGAGGTCGACTCCCTCCCGAAGTGCCTATCCTATCCTTGCTTGATCTCTCAGCATCAGCCCGGAGCTGTCGCTTCTAGATTTCCGATCACCACAGGCTGCAGGATATCATTCCGCTTCCGTATCCGATCCACGTGAATTTCTACGTATCCCTCATCGAAATCGCCGACGGACGTCAATTCCGAAGCCGGTTCAGTGCCGAAAGCTACATGGATACTCAACAGAAGAAGGAATATATATTCAACGTGCCCCAGCTACCTGTCGGACAACCTAAGGGAGACGATCTGAAGATCAGAGCTCCTCAACCAGGCTCTTCATGAGTTAATCGTTGGGCGCGTCCGATCCAATCTTCGATCAGATGAAGTTCTACGGAAAATTCATCCCAAGGAATAGATGAAGATATTTAAATAAGATTCGACGGATATGGGGTGAGTTGGCAGATTCCGACTACTCCTGCATGGTGAATTAGATAGTCTCCAGGCTTTGCTAGTTCGAAGCTCTCTTGAGAATCGAACATCGGCAAGACGTTGCCTGCGTTCGACGGAGAACATGATTCCTCAAATCAGCCGACCCGCCCCCGATGTCTTCCTCACCGTCGACTTCGTTTCGGATATCACTTGTGAATCGCAAGCCGACGAGGAAACCCAAGTGAAAATATTTGTGCGCCACAGAGAGACAAGCTTTTAGGGCGCTTGAGGACTTATTCTTGAGTCTTGGCCCCTCCGCGTCCGAATCACTCCTGCGCCCTTTCTTGGATCGGTTTCGCGGATCTGTTGAGATCCTCGAACGAATCGTGTCCGTCTCAGATGAACTTGACTTTCTCCTAGATCCGGCCCCTCGGGAGGACACTGTAAGGGAAGATCTCTCATCGGGGTGAACGTCACGGGAAGGGTCGCCGAGGAGCCCCGCTTCCTCGTCTCATTCTCCCATGAATCAGCCGCTGATGCCCTAGACAAGCGAAACTAATTGAGGTTTCGGAAACTTACTCGCGGCCTCAGAATTCCCCGGCAGCGTCTCGTTGTCCCCGACCTCGTCCGTGAGCGCTGCATTCTGGTGCTCGACTCCTCGTTCGGATCGAGAATTGGTTCCAGGCGTTTCGGCACCCGCCAGAGTCATCCAGCTTTATCGACGATCCCCAGGGCGCGTCGTTGTTGGCGGGACAAACTCATGCCTTGATAAACTCATGCCATGCTCACATGGTCGTGGACGGTATCGGATATTGGAAATGCCGCCATTTGAACCCGAAAAACTTTTTCGGGCTGGACCACAACGCCGAGCTTTTGAAAATCCGGGTACTGTAATTCACATTGTTCCCGAAGACGGATCCATAGAGCTTCACCCAGGAGGATCAGGGCCGAGTTCCTGCATACTTTGCCGACAGCAGGGATCGAACCCACACCACCTCCCGCGCGAGCGGCGTCGTTGCGGCTATGCACGTTCGCACGAGAAGTGTTATACACGCGAAGCTCGTTTGTCGGTTTCACCCCTCCGTTGGGACCCATGAAGGGCGAACCGCCCGGTGTCGAGAGGCCTCGGCCGAGGCCCGAAACCACTCCTCATCACGGTTTCCAGAAACCCAACGCGATCTCGATCGCATCGAGATCGCGAGGCTTGCTAGAACTCGATGGTCGATGAGAGCCTCCCCTGGTAGCGCCGGAACACAGCTCGGATTCACGGCTGTTCCGAATGCTGAGGCGAGAGATTCTGTTCTTTCTCGCGGAAGTTTCGGGAGAATCCTTCCCTCTTCTCGAATTCCCTCTACCCAGGAAGCTCAGAGGTATTTCTCCCCGGTTATGTGAGCCGGACCCAGGTCGCACCGATTGTCGGGGATTCTTTCCGGAGAACGAGAGAGGGTCGAGAGGAGTTGGGCCGGGATCATTCGGGGCTTCTGGTCTAGATCCGCCGCTCCTCTCGAGATCTCGAACTCGACGTCGAGAGGAGGGGGAATAGTTTGGGGCTCGTCGATCGCACTCCTCACCGGACCGCGATCTATGAAGGAGGAATCCGATATCGCACCGTTGCCAGTGGCGACCTCTTAGCGAACTTAGGAACCGCGTAACTAACCACAGGAAGCTCTCTCGCGTTCCTCGCGGTTACTAAGATATTGGTCCATGAGGAGCAGTCCATGAGGAATCCATAGGAATCGCCACTCTGTGGTCGCGAACGATTACGCGTGTCAGAGCGTCAAACAATACGTCTTCATTCGGGGAATTGAACACTGCAACGTCAGAACCTGAATCGATGAGCGGCAAGCGTGACCACCAGCCGATCACCTTGACATTCTCCTTGTTTGAGCCTTTCACAAAAAAATCCGCTCGATAAATTGATGAATGAATCAATGAGTCAAACCAATCTCCTGGCTCTCTCCTCGAGCCTTCATCGAGTGGAATTGCGTACATTCGAGGTGATTCGTGGTCGTCCGAAACTTTCGGGAGCTCTCGTGGGGGATGCTCTGCTCAGCGCGACGGTCAGTACGGGAGAATTTCGATTGCATCCGGAGCACATTGCCAGACGATGATGTAAGAATACGCACGGAATCGGTCTTTGGAGGTCGGTGGGTCGCGACCATCCGCCCATGAATGGGTGCGCGTGGAACTACTTGGAGAACACAGAATGATGTGTGGATTTAGGTGAACTTACGATTAGTCGATTCGTTCCGCGAGCTCTCGGAGTTCATTCTGATCCTTTCCAAGCGGAGAGGATGTATTTTCCTACGTATTTTACGCTTTTCTTCCATCCAGGAACATAGAATCAGGAAGAGCATGAGTTCACTCGGAGGGTCTTCTTCCATTGGGAACGATAAATCGGGATCGTGTGAGCATTTTGGACGCGGATGGAATTCCAAGCTCGAGGGAATTTTCTATCGATTTCAGACTACTATAGAGATAGACAAGCCCGAGATTATCGACCTGGGGAATTTCAAAGAGGGAATCTCAGGTCATAATAGCCGGAAAAGCGAGTAGTCCCCTGTATCTAGCTTAGCTTACAACTTTTTCCTCCCACGGACGCAGTATAGCCGCAAGCATGGATATCCGGTAGGATCAACACAAGAAATTAGTCCGCATCGCATTTCTCTCGTCACTTTTCGAAAATAAGTCGATAAGTAGCGAATTCGAAAGTGGTATTCGGTTTTGAACGATCGACGAGGAGCCACGCGAAAGGCGACGACTCTCTCTCTGCGCGAGCAGCGTATGTAGTCGGTGTTTCTCCGATTTCCGGTTGAGCTGTCGGAAACGTCAACCTCACGACTATCACGAATCCAGGCAATCCGATCTCGGATGGAAGACATCGAGGTTCTCGAGCCGTCGAGTTCCTCTGTGATCGATCGCTCAGCCGCGCGGTCGTTGGCGGAAGTGCAAAGAAAAGCGATTGAGTATCTGCCGTCCCGGGCTCTCCGTTAGGCGGGTCTTTTCTGGCGAGCGACTACGTCACGTGGAGCGGAGCGTTTGCCGCCACAGTCGTCGTCGTCGCCGACCGCTGACATCGTTCGGTCTACAGCGCCATCCGACTCAACTTTTTAGCGTAGACGACTACGACGAGCTTGACCTGCTGGTATTCGCTCGCGTGTTCCTTCTAGTGGTGCACTCCTTACTTAGTCAAAGTCGGTCAAGCCGCAACTCTGTTTGTTGTTGCTGTTGTCGTGCTCGGGAGTGCAGTCTACAAAACATGAGCGAAGCTTGACGGTAGATTACTTCGGCGGTTCGCGAGAATCGAATACCTCTTCACTGGACAAAAAAATCTCGCATGATATGTTTCTATTCGCCTGGTGAAACATTTGGTGATTCTGTGCGCTGTGTTCGGAGCTCTCGACTGTGTTCATTGGACAGCTGACCGACGCCCTGCTCTCCGAGTGAGTCCCATCGGCTTGTCAGAGGCAAGCATAGAAACGGCTGTCCTCATCGACGGTCTTTTATCTCTCGGGGACGACTTCGAATGCGAACTTCGAATCAACCGTCGGGTTCTCTCGCGGGGATTCGGGAGGCGCGGGAGTAATTCGATCTCCTGACGCCCTTAGGCCGATTCCCGATGTCCTTGTGATGCTTGTTGAGAAGTGCTGCGGTTCTTGAATCATTGGAATTCAGGGACTCGTTCCCATCATCGATCCCCAGTCGGAGCAATTGCTCATCTAGCTCACGCCATAACTCATTAGCATTGGAGAATGCTCTTCGAGACACAGCCGTTCACGGATTGTCGGATTTCCTCAAGTCTCTCCGATTCAGATTGAGTCAACATGAGGAATCAGATAAGCCGACTCTTAATCGCCACGGGCTCGGAAGTCTCGAAGTGACCATTCCTTTTAAGTCTCGGTAGCGGAGCGATGGAGGAAGATTGGCAGAGGAATCCGATTGTAATTTCGGATTTTAGGGATTAGGACGCGTGTTCGCGGCACGCGAGGACACGGAGGTTGGCTCCTGAACTTCCGAGACTAGTCGGATCTTCATTTCCGACTGATTCTCGGCCTATGCGGTCAAAGCCTGAGCGGCCACGAAGATCCATGGTGGAAATTTCGCAGGAGCTTTATCGCATCATGAGCTTCGTTGTGGGCGAGATGCGATGGGCTGAGATGCCGGATCCCACAAATTCAATGACGGCTCAATCAGATGCTTTCTGACATTTGTGGCTTCAGGTTCCTCACGCACAATACTCCGGATCGGCTTGTCACCACAGACGTTGTTCCAATTCCTGTTCCCCGCCTGATGTTCCGTTCGCCATGATTTCATGATCATGATCGATCAAGCATCAAGAGGGAGGGAACACTCAAAGGTGTTTCCACGATAGCGCTTCGAGAGGAGAGTCGGCACCTGTGGGAAGGACAAGTGGCTAAGAGCCCCGTCTCGCAGGTGCGGAGAAAATAATGTGGAATGGAACTGATGTGAGACGTATATCCCCCGAAGTATTCGGTGGAACTCCGGCGGCTGCTGTTTTCTTCATCGATAACATCTCGGAAAGGATTCTGATTGTTGTGCGATCCACCCAGGTCACGGTGGATATGGGTCTGCGGCCCCGGTTGAGATTCAGAGTAGAAAACCCATGTTTTTATAGACTGGAGAATTTGATCTGAGCACGAAAGAGAGCAAGACGGTCAAGTTGGGAACAGAAGAAAACCCGGATGAATCTTAATGCCCCGCTAGATCGGAACAACATCGGAGTACACTTTGCGGATGGGGTGGCTTGCTTCGCCCAGTATGGTGCGTATCTAATTCATCCCGCTTGTATACTCACAGGTCAAGTCAATATCCGCGAAGAGCTCCTGAGCAACATAAGCACAATGCAGCCGGGACGCAATAACATGCGACCACTCAAGATCGTCGTTGTGGGGGACGGAACAGTCGGGAAGACCTGTTTATTGATAACGTATACTTCCGGGAGTTTCCCGGACGGACCATACATTCCTACCGTGTAAGTGCAATTCTCGGGAACTTCTTCTTTGAGGAACAGGTGTAAGAGCGGACTTGTTCCTTCAGAGCCCCCTCCTCCTGGATGCCCTCCGGTTGAGGAACAGACAATAAACTATGCTGCTCATTAATGAAAATTCAGACAGGAATCAATTCATGCTATAAATTTATGAAAACCCTTCACAGATTCGATAACTACGCGGGGACGCATGAACTTCGTGGTGAAACAATCAACGTCAATTTATGGGACACTGCCGGCCAGGAGGATTACGAGAGACTACGGCCTCTATCTTATCCAGGGGTAAGGCAATGAATTCCGCGTCATCTCATACTCAGAATCGAGGAGCGATATCGGATTCGATGAATCAACACCTCCTCGAACGCTGACCATACGTCCCCTTAAGCGGAGAGTTATCGATTGGGTGCCACTATATAAGCCAGATTAAGGATTGTGATTCGATCCAGTTACTGAACTGCCGAGTCCTTCGTAGGCACTCCATCTCGGTCAGCTTTGTGGTCGTGTCACCAGGTTCACAAACAATATTCATTCAGATTCCCTGCGGTCTGAAGGCATTAGACATGAGCAACAACTCACAGTCGCCCTTATAGCAATCGTAACATCGACAATGTGTTCGAGCGGATAGGCACGATTAGATTTCAGGCATTTTTTATCATCTCGAGCTATGAACGCCGAAAAGATCAGCGAGATCTTTGCAGAGAATACCTCATCGATATTCTTTTCGAGAAAAGTTGAGGAGCGACAGGCAGAAGACTCAATGGGCGTTTGGTTTCAGACGGACGCATTCATCCTCTGCTTCAGCGTGAGCTCAAAAACGTCACATGACAACGTCATCCACAAATGGTTCCCAGAGGTGAGCCAATCGGGAGGCGAGAACGTGTTGGTCCCCGAATGATCCAGAGCTCCTCGCAGAGCAACGGTAGCCTGACACGTTGATTCGGGCTCTACTTCCGACCCCGCGGACCTGTTGTCATCAGATCCGGGCGGCGAGAGAGGAGAGAGAGCTTGTTTGCTGTAGAGGCCCAGTTCCCGTGTCGGGCGAATCTCAAAGAGCTTCGCGAGAGGATCTTTCGGGAAACAAATCAGACTCTGAATGATTGTTTCAAATTCATTAGTCTGCTCATCCACTAAGAATTCTGATCGCAATCCCCCAGGTTCGGCACCACTGCAGGGGTGTGCCCTTCATACTCGTGGGCACTAAAAACGACCTTCGAACCTCGCTGAAACACCGTTCGACAGAGAGTCTGAACTTGGAACGATCTGAGGTAGGTGACAGGATCGTGAGAATCGTGGCCATCAGGGAAGCTCAATGATTCGACAAGAACTTCGGTGATAACGGATTTGATTTCGATTTGATGATTCTGCTAATCCATAGATGGAATTTGTCGACCGACGCACTGCCAAGAGGACGGCTAAAAAACTCGGAGCTCGATGCTACGTAGAGTGTTCGTCCAAAGAGCTCCAGGGTGTACATGAGGTGAGTTACCGAGATCTGTGCTCATCCATTGGGGCATAAGCCTCTCGCTCCTCGTCTCCCTCCAGCCTCGCTTCGAGAGTCTCCGATGCGGGGCCTGGGTTCTGGAACTCTTCGAGAATTGGCTGGGGAAACTCTGTCTGAGCATGGAATTCGCCGACCATTGGGCTATCAGTCGCCGGTGAAATCGAGAGCTATCTCGCTCAAGCCAATGCGAGGGAAAGAGAGTACATACATGCTGTAGATTCTCACAAGAGAACTCGAGATGCTAAATTCACGCTGACTGGCTGCAGTAGTCTGATCTCCCCCGAGCTTCGGATGGACTGAGATTCGAATTCCTCCATTTCCAGGTATTCGAGCAGGCCATTTTGTCCGCGATTGAACCGCCACCTGTTAAGAAACGATGTACGATCCTGTGAAGCCGTATCGCTCACGCGGTCTCATCCTCCTCGTCAGAGCATCCAAAAAGCACAAAAAGATGAGCAGGATCAGGACACGCGGAAACTAGGCATGAATTCGGAGTCAACTGGACGAGAGGCGGAAAGAATCAGAATCTAGGCGCATTGCTCTTTCGACTTGATTGATGTCTCGGACCCGGAAAGTCTCCGGAAATTCCCAATTGTGTTCTCATAAAGACTGTGATGATCTGAGTGGGTCCGCCTCTGTTGAATGAAATCGATACTGTAGAAAGACGAGGAATAAATGATGTAGCCGAGTCTCTGAAAGGACTTGCTGCCCGTTGCGGTTCGACCAGATGAGCTGGCTCGCTGTGATAAGGCATCAGCATTCCCACATTCGGTGTTGTGAGACTTGAATAGTCATCGTTGTGACCCTCCCCCAATATTTCTTAATGACGCATGTATCGAACTGGGTTGCTGCCTGAGCCTATCTGCGAGAGGCTTATTCAGCTACTCCAATATTTTGATCGCACGGCCGAGTTATGGCGAGCGATAGCGGGTTCCCGTTCGTTTCCGGTCGATTCCGAAAGAGATCCGCTTTCGCGACGCCTCGATGGGATCGAGTGAAGCTGTCCACTGAAAATTCTGAGCTTTAGTTAGGGAAGACGGTTGGTGAATAGAGAGGCGAGCGGAGGAGACGGACTGCGGCTCATCATCGCACAGGAGCGTAAGCGGGGCGGGTCATTTTTGGAGGGAAGAATCCGCAAGAGCTACGGCACTGCTAGGAACGAATCTCTGCCTTGTCCAGCTCTCGCCATATGGGAAACAAGGCAGACCATGTCAGCCGGCCGTCAGAGCAAGCTTGATTGCGGCCGTTTTATGTACATCTCGAAACGGTGTTCATCTATCATTTTCCGTCGTCTATCAACCTGCCAACACATCCTCACGGCTCTCCCTTCAGAATGAGGAACTTGCGCTTTCTTTACGCCTCAAATCACGAACGCTTCCCCCCAGGCATAATGCAGTCTTCTTACGCGACGAGCAGCGAATATCCATACAAAAATCTGTCTCATCAAACGGGACACGAAGCCGAGCGTTGGAAGCTCTAGAACTCTAGACTTTATCGGCGACTCCTACGTTTGAGCGATCCAGCTTCACGGGCGGGGGCGACTGGGTAGTTTCTAGTGTGACTCGCTGCATGTAGAGGAGGGCGGCTTCCTGATTTCGTTTTCCGCATACATTCTCCTGAGATTTCCGATCAAATATCGTCATCTCCACTGAACGCTGTCGACTCCTCTAGGATTGCGACTAACTCTTGTGGGCTCCTTTGGCGGTTCTGAGGGCGCTCCAGCTTCTGCCGTCTCGCGAGCCTTTTCGTCACTACAAAAAAAAGGCGGAAGATTCGGAAACCACAAATACATTTCATTTTGCATCAGCCAAAATCGATTCTGAATGTTGATCAGCTCCCAACAGGAACGCTTCGAAGCACAAGATTTGTTGAATTACGAAGTCAAGTATGATATCGAAAATGCCTTGAACGTATCCCCAAATGATCCACAAAGGTCCTGGAATATTGACATTGATGCAGTCACGGCCTTACACTTTCCGCCATCATAGGAAACTTATCCCGAAAACGAAACACACATTCCAAATTCATATCACTCGGAGGCAAATAATTTGAATCTACTCGCTCACCCTCGCCGAAAAAGGCAAGCATCTCAGCCAGGAATTTCTCCCTTTCGAGCAACTTATGCCGAATTATTCCCGCGGTCTCCAAGCTTTCCGCAACCTGCCGAGAAAATCAGTCTGAGCCACCGACAAACGTTTCAATTGGCCGATCTTCCTCACTCCCGGTGAGCTCGTCATGGATCATCAATTATTCGAACATTCCTCTCCGGTAGTCATCGGAACTTCGAATATTTGGGCGGAGGAAAGGGATTGAAAGAGAAGTGAAGTTGAAATCACCTCATCTCGGAGAATCCTTGATTTCTGAACTCCCTCACTCAAAATATCATTCAGTTCATCCAGTCGATCCCTTGTCTCCCGATTAGCTTCGGCTTCTCTCGCCAGCTCCTACGGAATTCAACAATGTTGTCCAGTTGCTCTTATTAGGAAGGGAATGCGCGACGTTTTACACGGATTCCCGGATCGAGTGAGAGCGTCTTCCGCGTCCGAAATTTTCCAGGCCGTGGATGACGATATTCGCGACGGTAATTTTGATGCTCGCAAACGGCGGTGTTTTTTTTACATGAACCCTACCGATAGATTCTCTGCCGATTTCCTCGGCGGGAGACCCCCCCGCGCGTCTCGCGGAGCGATATCCAGGGCCTCCGAGTCTCGGTATCAGTTCAGCCTGCTGCTCTGCGTTTGCGGAGCAATTCGATTTGGTATTATGAATCCCGTCAAAGCTCACCATCAGGTACAAACCTTCGGTCAGAGCGGATTCTGCCCGGAGAGCCGAGGAGGACATGACGACCGATTTTTGACGCTATCGACTCGCGAGCTCGGTACGAATAATCCGAGGGATCCGAGGCCTCCGTGACACCACTTTCTGCGAGGACACCCGCAGATTTTCGCGGGGTCCAGAGCGGGAACAGAGGCGGCTAAATTCTCCACGACTGCCGGTGTCTACGTGCGCCATCTTGGATCTTTTCCCCGCAATTCTCCTCACTGAGACCGAATATTTGTAGCCCATAGCAGCATTGAGCCTCTACCCATTCCCATTGCAGGAGGCTGGGATTCGTTCCCCCACCGCAGACTGAGAACTGAAGGTGGCCTTGTAGAGTTTCACAGATTTTCTCCATTTCTTCCTGATGCGCTCGTATTCGCCTCGAGAGCCCGCTCACGATGTCCTCGATCTCTCGCTGTTGTTTGGAAAGGAATTGAATCACTATACCGAGCAACGACATTGCCAGGGATCAATCTAGTCTGTGTGAAGGGACGGTCATTAGACTTCATAGACCGAATCAAGCATTCATTGCATACCCCTGGAGAGATATTCGGGGAGTGATGTGAAGGGAAGTTCAAGCATCGCTTCGACCCGTCTCGAGTTGTCGCTTGGGGTCAGCTGTACAGAACCCCCTCGAATCATCTCGTCACCGCGCGGTCCTCCAGGAACTTCGCCGATGACCGTCAGCGGCCGTGGAAATTTCACAGCTGACGGCGATATCCAAATTGAGCGTAACTCGACGAAAAGTTTCATGATTTCGACAGAGGAAGGCGTGAGACCTAGGCAAGCCTTCAATGGCTCGACTGCATTGTCTACCCGCCACTGGTCTGTTAGAAGCTTTCGATGGGGTGTGTTGTCCCTGCCGAGAACTTCGTTTATTTCGTCGCCGCTAATGGATTGAAAATAGCCGCAGCGTGGACGCCTCTGGATCCGTCGCCTCTCGCTGATTCAGTCAGTCGCGCTTTCGCGGGACCACACCGAGAATTGGAAAAAGGTCGTATTCAATCTGAAGAAGCGAGTCGTCGGCGGAACAAAAGCCGGTTCCGCGACCGACCAGTGGATCCACCGCGCGGCTCGAATCTCTAGAGATTCTCTCCTCCCGGCGTGTCTGACACGGAGCGTTCCTGAGACGGGGATCCGATGTCTGGCTTTGACCGGAATTAGAAATATTCACATGAATGCTCCAGAGGCAACACGGAATGGATGACTCACATGACTCGTACGTTGTGAATACCTCGCACTGATCGCATAATTCTCCAAATTCTGGAAATTAAATCAGAATGCCGGATCATTCGGAAGTGGATGTTACGGATACGACTCGATGTGGGGGACCTGAGCAGGTTTCCCCTCGGAGAATAATTCCAGAATGAATCAGTTCTGCCGAGTTTTCACCTCTTGATGCGCCACGTTGAAAGCTTTCGCGAGGACGCGCTGCTCATGAGTCGGACCAATTTCGAAGAAGTAGTCCCTCTGGGGCTCGCTCTCGACTCCTCCTTGCTTCTTTTTCAGTCTCAAGGCCGCTTTCCGCTGTCTGAGCCTCTCCAGAGTATCGTCGACCTTCTCGTCGCAAGCGTAGGCTGTGTCCTCCACCGCATCATTCTCGAGTGTCTTCTCGATCTGGGCTCGCAAACAATTTCATAATAAGTTCACTATGACCACAAGCGATCCGGGATGAGTTTCGGGGACACCTCTCCGACCGATAGCGGAGACGAAGAAATCGCTGTCTATCAAATCGAGGGAGCCAGGAGCAGCCTCCCGGAATAATGAGAAAATGACAGATAATAATTACGTGTTACGGGTCACGATTGGATACGAACGAGGATGAAGTAAAATCGCATCGGAATCCCGAGGAATTTCGAGTCGCCACCGAATCGAAGCAACAGCGACGTCAGTAGAATCGAGCACAGGAGTCTGAAGGTAAAAATTTTCGCTTTCGATCTTGTCATCGTCGCGCCAGAATTCACGTCTAATTTCCCCGTTGTCCGGCAACATCCGCAGCTCCCCGATCATCCCCGGATCCCAACAACGAATGGGCGAGGAGACGGTTTCCAAACGAGGACTCCCAATCGCGTCTGATAGAAGCGAATCACAAACAAGCTCCAAGCTATCGGTGTTATCTGACACAGCCGTATTTACTGCGCCGTCGACGTCGCTCTGTGCAGTGCGACTGACGTGATCTGATGGAACGTCTGCGAGCCGACCGCGAGTCGAACGTCTGGTCGATACAGAAAACGTTTTCGGATGGAAATATCGAATGACTGAACCTGAAACCCGCGATCCCGTCGATGTCCTAGACCTGGTTTCATCAAGAATCCACGATGTTATCGCATTCCCGACCGAGTTGGGAGCCCGATCCTCTCCAATCCGCTGCCGTGAGGGAGGAGGTATTTCCTGGCATATCGACGCGCATGGGAATACTCAATCGCATTCCGATCCGAGTGCTCACTGGGAGCCGTGTTTCATACGTCAGCGTACGCTCGCTGTTGAACGAAGATCCCGGGTCCGACTCCAGACACGACTCCTTCTTGTCAAGCATTTCGACCCCAGACGACGAGGCACAGTAGAACTAGGCTCTGACGAACTCGGCTATGACGGACCCTCAGCTATAACTTTTCGGCGGTCACAATTGAGTTCCTATCTCAATCCGTGTCGAGAAGGTCGAATTTAGCGGACTCGCATACAACGGACCCTCGGTTGCCTCGGACCATCCTAGCGGTCCGCATCCTATGCTGCTCCTTGTCACTCAGTACGCTTACAAGGTAAGCCGATAAAGAGACAATGCGCCCCAACTCCTACGGAGCTCTGAGGGCCTCAGAGGAGCTGCACGACCCCCCTGTACTTTAGATCGTGGAATATCAC